AAAACTGTTCACTTTACTGATTTACATGAGGTAACCAAGTATTCCTGGCTGTAGACAATGGCTAAGGGTTCCTCAGACCCTAACGATTGAGAAAGCATGTCAAGTTCGTAGATATGAGCAACCTTCATATGGTACCTTCTCCCAAATATGAAGACCCCAGGCATTATGGATCTTCGGAAGAAGTCTTCAAGCAATTACGGCCTGATATATGTTAACCTTTGACCCAAGACAACTTTCAAAGTTGACCCTGACATCAATACAATAAATTGGAAACATATTTATACTGGATAGCTTGTTCCATAGGAAATGCTGCAAGATGTTTGACATATTTGACCCCTATGACCTTATATGAGGAAACTTAAGAGCACTCCATCCCAGGATTCTAACATCCAAATATCAGGACCAGAGGTGTTTCAATTTTTCAAGCAAATGTTTTTCAAGAAAACAATTGATGAACATATAACAGACACTGCAATAAATCACAAGCTCACAGCCTAAAAATACAAACATGTCACCATTCAAAAATTTGTCAACAATAAACAAGAGGCTCAATGGGCCTGCATCGCTCACCTGGTATAAGTCTCATACTTGTAACCTTTAAAGTGGTCTAAAATAAAGCTACAGGCAAAATATCAGTATTTATGATTAAAAGTCATTCAAAAGAACTTGTTAAAAGATTTAAACACATTTCACTCCTGTGACCTTGAAAGTTGAACAAGGTCATTATGTTGAACAAATTTTATAGCCCTTCATCTCAGGATGCAACTTTCAAAATATCACCACCCTATCCTTTGGTTTATTGAAATTATGTCATTAAAATGGTTATACATATATGACCAAATGTGACCTTGAAAGTGGGTCAATGTCATTCAAATGAAAAAGCTTGATAACCCTTCATCCAAGCGTGCTACTGGCAAAATATCAACATTCTGGGCCTCGTGGTTTTTCAGAAGTCATTTAAACTTTTTAAACATATTTGACCACTGTGACCTTGAAAATAAGTCTAGGTCATTCACTTTAATCAACTTGGTAGCCCTTGATCCCAGCATGCTAGTGATCAGATATCAACATTTTAGGCCTTATGGTTATGCAGAAGAATTCGTTTAAAAATATTGATATATTTGACCCCTGTGACCTTGAATATAATTCAAGGTCATTCTTTGAACAAACTTGGTAGCCCTTCATCCCTTCATGTAAAGGGCCAAATATCATCATCTTGCGACTTTTGGTTATTCAGAAGAAGTTGTTTAAAAATTTAAATATATTTGACCATTCTTTGAATAAACTTGGTAGCCCTTCATCCTAGCATGCTACTAGCCGATTATCAACATCCTTGGCCTTGTGGTTATAAAAAAAAGACTTTTAACATATTTGATCCTTGTGACTTTCAATAAATGATAAGGTCATTCATTTTAACAAACTTGGTAGCCCTTGATCCCATCATGTTATGGGCCAAACATCATCATCCTGTGGCTTTTGGTTATTCAGAAGTCGTTTTAAAGTTTCAAACATATTTGACCCCTGTGACCTAAATTATACGTCAATGTAATTCATTTATACATACTTGATAGCCCTCTATCCTATGCTGCTACTGACCAAGTACCATCATCCAGGGCATTTTGGTTATTCAGGAGAAGTTGTTTTAAGTTTTTAACATATTTGACCCCTGTGACCTTCACAAAAGGTGAAGGTCATTTATTTGAACAAACTTTGTAGCCCTTGTTCCAAGTTTGCTTCTGGCCAAATATCATCACCCTAGGCCTTTTGGTTATTAAGAAGAAATTGTTTAAATTGAAATATTGACGCTAGACAACGGATGGGCCTGGTGAGCTAAAAACACAATAGGTGTATTCTGTTCTTAACAATTGTAGAATTGATAACTTACTTCCTGAGACTGTCAGTGTGGTAGCACTACTTTGTCCAGTTCCTACAGAGTTGGTGGCAAAACAGGTGTAGGTACCACTGTCAGCTGTGTTAGCGTTGAGAACGGTCAGGGACGGAGAATTGACCGTAGAGCCAGAGTAGTTGACACCATCAATGGTGATGGTCTGGGTACCAGAATTAACATTACGCTGCCAGAACACAGTGGTACGTGCGGGGTTGGCAGACACGGTACATCCCAGGGTGATACTGTTTCCTGTGTTGGTTCTGTAGGCATTCTGGGAAATGATCACAGTTGGAATGTCTGAAAACAATAAATAATTTTTAGAAATTGTGAACCATAAGAAAAATTCTTCCCTGTGTACTAGTGTGGCCTATGTTATTGAGACCTGTTTTACTGTTAGTAAGAATTTGTGTGGTCATCAGTGATGAAAGCGTCACCTTGACCTTGTATCATACAGACCTGTCAAAGTATGTTAGTTGATTGTGACTTTGTATTATATAGATGTATAAAAGTCTAACCTCTATCAAGAGTCTGTACTTGTTAAGTCCATAGAGTGGTCTTTTTACACAAGTAGGTTTTTATTGGGTGGTTTCATGAACAATGTTTGACTATTTTATTGAACTTAGGCTCAGTAAAATGAGAAGAAAAGGCTTAAATTATTTCAAGATATACACATTTGCATGAAATCTGTTTTATGTGGATCTGTAACATGTGTTATCTATTGTTTTCATTTCACATTATTTGACGTGAAGTTAAATTGGTAACTTACTTCCTGAAACTGTCAGTGAGGTAGCACTACTTTGTCCAGTTCCTACAGAGTTGGTGGCGAAACAGGTGTAGGAACCACTGTCAGCTGTGTTAGCGTTGAGAACGGTCAGGGACGGAGAATTGACCGTAGAGCCAGAGTAGTTGACACCATCAATGGTGATGGACTGTGTACCAGAATTAACATTACGCTGCCAGAACACAGTGGTATGGGTCGGGTTGGCAGACACGGTACATCCCAGGGTGATACTGTTTCCTGTGTTGGTGCTGTAGGCATTCTGGGAAATGGTGACAGTTGGGATATCTGGAAATATATGCATATTATTTTTTAAAGAAGAATTCACACAACAATGTAAACAGTTCAAAACATTAATATTCTTTGCGCAGAATTGTACAAAAAAAGCATAGCCAGCAATTCATCACATCCCACCTCCCAACCCCAGACAAATGATCACTCTGATACTAAGTTTGGCAAATGTAGGTGACAAACATATAGAGATATATGCTGAACAACGTACAAAGGGCAATAACAATGTATCTACTAGATAATGTGTCATCTCAGTAGGCGACACTTTGGTATTTTAAAAGAAACTCACATGATACAAGTTTTTGCAATTAGAAGATAGTAAAAACAAGACACACTCGAATACAGAGATAGACAGACTGATTATGATTGATGTATAACACTATAGCCTCTTCTATAGGACTGATTGGGTAGGGAAACTTGTTTCTTTGCTTTTTCTAGAAATATGTTTTATATCCTTGGTGGGATATACAATAGGCTGCAGTCTTTACTGAACTGTGTAAAGGAGTCTATTATAGACCTGTAAACCTGGTGGGATATACAATAGGCTGCAGTCTTTACTGAACTGTGTAGAGGAGTCATGTTATAGCCCTGTGAACCTGGTAGGGTATACAATAGGTGGCAGTCTTTACTGAACTGTGAAGAGGAGTCATGTTATAGCCCTGTGAACCTGGTGGGATATACAATAGGCTGCAGTCTTTACAGAACTGTGTAGAGGAGTCATGTTATAGCCCTGTGAACCTGGTAGGATATACAATAGGTGGCAGTCTTTACTGAACTGTGAAGAGGAGTCATGTTATAGCCCTGTGAACCTGGTGGGATATGCAATAGGCGGCAAT